AAACCTTTTTTTTTTTTTTTTGATTATTGATATCATAGTAAATAAATTAAATTTAATATCATTCTACTTACTAATGGGTTGACAGTGTTCTTTTTTTTCCTACCTTCCTACCACTAGGCGTCACCTGTCGACATAATTAAACAAATAAAACTCTTTCTCGTACCAAAAAACATTTTTAAGAGTTTTATGAACACTTTTATAACTTCTTTTCCATAAAAACTTTTATTTTCACACTTTTTCTTCATATTTCTATTTCGTGAAATTTTAGGTACAATTTTTTTATCGACCTGCTTCGCCCACTCAAAAGTTACTTAATAATATATGAAGGAAGTGTCCAACTCACATACAGAACAAGCCGTTTTACGGCTTTACAAACCACTTCGATTCTTTTCACAAATTTCGCTTAACCCTGTATTTCCGGAGTCGATACTCGGATTTTTTTAAAATTATACTAATGTTCGTTGTTAATAAATAATAAGGTAAATTAAATAAATACATCATTATCCATAAATACACTCTATATACTGTTTTTTTTTAATTAAATAAATTCATTAAATTAATTAAAATATAAATAAAAAAGAAGGAATAACTATTACTCGAGGAGTGGACTTTTGACCTTGAGTCCAATATTTATTTTTCGCCTATATATATCCGTAGTTCCGTACAAATGAAAAAAAAAAAATGAAAATGGAATAAAGGCGCTCACCATAGCACTAGTCCGATCACTGACCTAAACCTAAAGGGGAAAAGGACAAAAAATGAAAAATGAAAAAGAAAAAAAATAAATTAAAAATCCATTTTAAAAAACTGTGAAAGGAAAAAATCCAGTCTTAAAAGAACCGGAATGAAGGGGAAATTTTTTAATAAAAGAAAAAATCCATAAATCTGGTTTTCAAAGCCCGTAAAAAAGAAAGACGAAAAAATTTCTCGGTTTAACCGTTAAGGAAATAACCAAAAAAAAAATAATTTTCAGTTTAATAAGAAACAATGGATAAATTCAGTTTAACCATGTCCTGAAATGATGGAAATGGCACCGTTAGCATTACTATCACAACTGAAACTGGATTAGTGTTAGTCACAAGATTGGCTATCAGGACATGACCTCAATAGCCAATCAAATTACATGGAATAGACAATTCAAGAGGGTAATCTAAATATCACAATTATTCAGTGGACGTTAATATTGTCTTCTGATCAAAATAATTATCGTTAGTCGTTACCATTAATATTTGACACGACAAAAACACATACTGGAGATGAACCAAGTTGATACACAACTCAAATCAAGAAAAAGAAGTATTCAGAATATATTTTTTTAAGAGTAATTCATAAATGAATTATAATTTAATATTTACAATTGTTGTAAAATTTATTTATTTATTATTTTATAATAGTGAAATTAATGTGACTAACCGTTACGAAGTCTGGAGCTTATCATATTGGAAATGATTCAATAACGAACAAGCTTATATATTTAATTTAATTTATTTCGCATTTGTTGTAAAATTTGTACAAAAATAATTTATTCTATTTCATATTTGGTATAAAATTTTACAATAATAAAAATCCTAAAACTTTACATCGATCGAATAGCTAAAAAATTATAATACGAAAGAAATAGACCAACACATGGATTAATAGCAGATCGAGATATTTTCTACTGAAATTTTGATCGAGTAGCTTAATAATGACTTTAAATTGTTTACAAGATAATGTTTATTATTTTTTTAAAGTAAGGAATTATCAAATTATTTACATTGAAATAGCCCATTTACTATTTGAATATAATTTTTACACTTTATTCATTCATAATTTTTTTACGTTTCATCAAAGGTTAGTAAGATTAATGAAAAATGCATGGTTTCAATTCTTGATTCACGTATAAACAATAAAATTTTCGATCCTTCAATATTGGTCACCTTTGTAATAATAATAACTTCTATATACGGATGGAATACCTTACATTTCTTTCATTTACCATATTTACTAGACAAGGTTCATTTGACCAACCATATAACTGATAATATTATTATTAATCTAAAAATTATTTTCCTAGTGTAATCCATCATCTAGCTTTGATTAAAATAAATTTTTTATTCAAACAATATTTATTTTGATATATAATTTGGCAATGGTTTTAGTATAAAGTTTTTATCATAGACTTGCTACTATTTTTATTTTTTTTAAAAAATTATATGATGTACGTATATATTATCGAAAAAATTAATACTGAAAAATGCATGAACTTTACAAAACGCCTTATATGGCCATCATTTTAACCATTTCGGGTTAGATTTATTTTCTTTCTTTTTATGATCAGCTGTTGCTTACGAATTTTTGTCACAAAATCACAAAAATAGTAATGTCTGTATAAAATAGTTGTACAAATTGTAATACAAATGGGCGCAATTTATAGAATTTCATAATTTTTTTTCTTTTTCTTTTAATAATTCTGAAATTTATTTCGAGTAACAGTTTACTTATTTATATAACTAAATTAAAAATTATAATCCACAACTCAAATTAATTAATATGGATGAAAAGCCAAAAAATTTATGGGAGGAAGCTGATACTAGTAAATATCAGGTAATAGCAATTTAATATGTTAATAATTATAATTATTTATTGAATTTTTGTAATTTAATTTTTTGTCTATTAAAAGGCATATGTTACAACTTCTACTATTAATCCAACTATTGAATCAGAAAATGTAGATGAAAAAATAGTTTATATAGAAGATTTAGAAAAAAGAAGACAAGCATATGGAATATGTGGAGAATGTAATGAACCTGGTACAGGATTTAAATGGTGTCAACCTTGTAATGCTAAAAGATTTAAGGATAACTTTAAAAATTGGACTAGTGGAAATAAAGATATTGATGAATTTATACAACAATCACAACTTAATGCTGTGCATTATACAAATTATCTTGAATGGATACCTTTTGAAAAATTTCAAAATGTCACTTATATTGCAGAAGGTGGTTTTGGTAAGGTTTATTCAGCAGAATGGCCTGAAGGAAATATTGAATATTGGGATATTGAAAATCAAAAGTGGTATAGATATAGTTATAAATATGCATTAAAAAGTTTGAATACTTTTTCTGATATATGTACAGATTTTATAAATGAGGTAATTTAAACTTGCTTTGTCTTATGTATAAAGATTGTTATTTGCATTTATTTATTAATAAATTTTTTCCTTTTTGATGATAATTAGATTAAATCTCATCTTCAGATTTATCTTAGTAATATTGTTTACTGTTATGGAATTACTCAAGATCCAAATAATAAAGAGTATTTGATGGTTTTATATTATTGTGAATTTGGAAATTTGAGAAATTATTTAAATAAATCTAAAAATTATATCAATTATAAATCAAAAATTGATTACTTACAACACATTGCAAGAGGACTCTTAAATATTCATAATGCTAAAAAAGTTCACAGAGATTTTCATTCAGGCAATATATTAGTTAATAATTCTTATTATTCATTTATAAGTGATTTAGGTATGTGTCAACCAGCAAGTATAAAGCAATCAGTTAAAGAAGAAGGAATCCATGGAGTATTACCATATATGGCACCAGAAGTTTTACGTGGATACCAATATACAAAAGCAGCAGATATTTACTCATTTGGAATAATAATGAACGAATTTCTTTCTGAAGAAATTCCTTTTAATGATATTCCTCATGATGAATTTTTAGCTATTAAAATATGTAAAGGACTTAGACCAACAATTTCTAAAGACGTACCAAAGTTACTTAAAGATTTGATAATAAAATGTTGGGATGCTGAAATAAAAAATAGACCAACCACTAAAGAGGTATATCAAATACTAAATGAATGGAATGATGGTGCCAATAGTCAAAATAGTGAAATTTATTTTCAAATAAAAGAATGTGATAAAATTGGAGAAGAAAAATTCAAAAACAGATTAAATGAACATAAATGCAAAAAAAGCTTCCAAACACATCCACAAGCATTTTATACTAGTAGACTTTTAAATTTTAAAAATCTTCCAAAACCAGTAAATTTTTCAGATTTATCATCTTTTCAAATCAGTTCAGGTAATTAAATATAATTTTATTTTATCATATAATTCATTTTACATTATTTATGTTATTTTATTTTTAATATATGCTAACTATACTGCTCAATCAACATCAGCAAATCCAAGTAAGTATTCTCTTAATTATCATTATTATAATTATTCTATTTACATTTGTTAACAATTAAATACTATGAATACATAATATACAGTTTCAGAATGCCTAGATGTTCAATTAAGTGAATTGGGTAAGTTATTATTTATTTGTAATTTATTAATATTTCCTTTCTAATTTATCTAATCTATTTTGTTTTTTTATAGAACTAAATGAAATTTGTCAAGATAGTGAACATAATATTGAATGAAGTTTTCTTTATATCAAAGTGTGTGTTGAAGTTAGTTTTACTTTTATTTATCTTTCATTATGATTTATAAATTATTATCTTTAGTTTTTTTATTTACGTAATATATTATAGTACATATATAGTGGATTTATTGGATTTTATATTTATGAATATTCTATATATAAAATAAAGATTTAAAACTTTTTTTTAAATGTAAAACTGTGATATATTTGCAACTGCCAATATTCCACTCAATGTATTTATGAAAATCATATTAATTATTGTGCGTAATAAATGTTTAGGTTGGGTTGATAGTTTTTGGCTGCGCCTCATCTTTAAATAACATAACTATCTCATAGTATATTTGTAATATATGAAAGAACTGATTATATATTGACTCAAATGGCGGACAAACGGAATGGTTTGTACCACCTCATCTAAATCATATAGTCCTTCATTATACTTCGGAATAATAATAGTTGCTATAGTGTATTGTAGGGATGGCAAAAAACATGTTTTAAACGTGTTTTAAAACATTAAGCACTTACTTTACGATGTAATACATTATTTGCAATAAAAATTTAAGCACTTTATTATATAATATATATTTAGAGTATAGCCGGACCGACCTTGTTGGGAATATAGCTTAGTGATACTAGTGATTCGTTAAATAAAATGTGCGCTAACTCTTAAAAAAAAAAAATAATTATATAATATAATCTTCTAATCAATCAATTATATCAATAACTAATGTCATTTCCACAATAATTACACACTTTTGACGAGGTGTTTTTCGTAACTTTTCAAAGTGCTTACGGACGTCTTCCGATGATGGTTTTCCACGAGAATAATTCTAAAAAAAGGTTGCTTAAAAATACAAAAAAGGTCATTAAAAAATAATTACGCAATAATCATGCCGATCAATGTTTTAAAACAAAAAAAAACGTTTTAAAACAATAAAAAACTGATTTAAATTGTTTTAAAACATCTTGTTTTAAATCACGTGCCATTGGGGTGGTCAGTCAACTAAGTAAATCAAAACTATATGTGGTTAACTAACTATAAGCTTATTTAAATTTTTTGATTGAAACTCATAATATTTATATAAATTCATATATAAACGTAAAGCTTATTTTTTTAGATGCCCAGGTTGAATAACAACTTCTTTCTCGGCTATTTTGGTATTAATTAATTTTTATGAACTATGACCATAAAGTTACGAAGCATTTTTTTACATTAACCATTAAATTTTCTAGTAATATAGACTAAAAATCCATCTATATGTCAAAGTTCAACTGTTCAAACCAAATATTAGGTATCTTGTATTAAATATAACAAATAGCTTCGTAACTTTGTTTATATGGTTGCATTAATGATTTTCATATAGTTTTTTTCTTAAGATACACAATAGTTAAAGCTGTACATCTAATTTAACAGTAAGATATAGGTATATATAAATAATACAAACGCCTGTTCCATTTTAAAAAAGCAAATAAAGCACATCTTGATAATATTGGAAAACTAATGAAAAGGCATCATCTACCAGTGAAGATGTATATTCTGTCAATGAAGAGGTGTTTTATGACGAAGAAGTGTTATCTATTAATGAAGAGGGGCCTATTGACGATAAGAATCCACAAAAATCCCATTTAATTTCAATGATACAATAATTACCTGAGAAAGATATATCTCAAGCAAGAAATCTTATTTCAATTATGTGATATCCAAAAGGGCCAAATAAAGGGAAGATATTTTCGTCATATTTGCAACAAAAAACATAGCTATTTTTTATAAGCATCATTCTTCTCATCAATTTTTAAAAGACTCAAATTCAACAATTTACGATGATATTGCTACCTCAATATTACATAATCAAGGATCGACATTTTTGTTTCACAAAAAAATTCGATAATAAGTTTTTATATGGTACCACATATAGTTTTGATTTACTTAGTTGACTGACCACCCCAACGTGCCATCCCTAGTGTATTGGTTTAAAAACATCATTTCATATCTTCCTAAGAACAAGTTCTAGTTTATAAATAAAACTTCAAATTATGAATAAAGTAAAATTTCGATATTTGAAAATTTTTCAAATCGTAATAACATTTCTCATTCGTTTAATTGGTAATATATAATTAAATTGGAGTCGCTTATTTTAGTGGAAATTTATATATACATATTTTTTTTTTTTTAAAAAAAAAGAAACATCGAATAATTTTTATACCATGATTGTTATTACCTCATTATTTTCATTAGGTAAATAATTATTATGTTTTATACAACTTGTACGTAAATATTAATAATAATAATAATAAAATATTCTAATATTCTTTATAATTTTTTCGTCACTTTTCAAAATATGATAGCATATAATTTATTTATAGCAGAGAATCCAGAATTCGTGAATCGGTCTTTGAGATTAGTATTTAATATGTATGATAATAATCTTGATTCGTACGTATATTTTTATTAATTTTAATTAAACGAAAATTTTGTCAAAAATATTAATAATTTATAAATATTTATATTATTTTATATATTAGAATATTATTGATTGTTTGATTTTTTGCAGGTAAGGAAATATATAAATTTTTATTTAAAATACTTTTCTTTTTTTTATTTTTAACCTCTCTTATTATAGTTATTATAAACACTCTTACATTCTTTACAAGTTGGAATGATATGTGTTATGTATTTAGTGTAATTCGCTGTATGAGTCATATAATTGGTTATTTATGTTTGATAATGTTCCTTTCATGTGTTATTAGGATGGATACCAAATCTGAACATAATTCTCAACAAAATGTTGACGAGAAAACTCCTTTATTAAATGATGATGTTGATGTGAAATTAATTGATGATGAAGAAATTAACGTGAGATGTATTGAAGCTGATAATAAAGAAACTGAAGTTGATGTAATCGATGTTGATGTGGAACTAATTAATGATAATGAAATTGACGTGAAATGTATTGAAGCTGACAAGAAAGAAACTGAAGTTGATGTAGTTGATGCGAAGTTGATTAAAATTGATAATTCAAAAGGACAACATAAAGTATAAATTGAAATTGATATTTTTATTTTATATCTAGAGAATTGTATAAGACAAAAATTCGTTAGTAGTGTCTGTGGTGAACCAATTAGTTATAAACATAGTGATGTAGGCTAAAAATTCGAAATTATGTGATCTGAGTGGCTTCACTGTGCAATGTGAAACTAAGATAGTTTACAATAAAGCGTAAAGGTTGATTATCCATTTGATAGATAACTCTTATTAATAAAGACCGGTCATTGCTAAAGACTAACATGGAAAGTAGCTAGAAGATAAATATTTAAGGCAAGTAATAACTTTTAGTTAAAAATGGTGTCAAAAGGACTCGTTTGATTCTTTATCATTAAGGCCACTTGATGATACACAAAACAAGTGATGAGTTGGTAGTCTAATATTCGAAACTGCTTGACTTTTAGGGTAGGAAAATAAACTAATTAAGAGTATTGCTCAATTTCTTGAATCTTTACCAAGCAATGTAACAAAACCATCGCTAAGACGGAATTGAAAGGATGAGCGCAAATCGACTCAATGCAACATTTAATGCTAAATCTCCAAAAAAAAGTATTCCAAGGACGGATAATATCATTCAAAAGAGATAGGGTCCTTAATCATGAACAGTTATATAGCTATATAAAAAAAAAATAAATTATGAACATTACTTTTTATGACTTCTGAGGGAGTACCTTCAATTGGTAGATCATTTTTAAATAAGGATTACATTGAAGTGAATAAAGATTCTAATCAAGAAGAATCTGAAGGAATCTAAAGGATTAATGTAATAAACTCATTTGAAGTCAGCAGAATTTCAACCACCTAGGACATGAAAACTTGGCTAAGGTAGTTAATAGACCATTTGCTGGCGATTTTCTTAGTGATAGTTGGTATTTTGGTCGCTTGGGTTGAGCATATTTTATTTTTTCTTTCTTTTTCTTTTTCTTTTTTTTTCTTTCGGCGTTCTCCTATAAATTCCTTGGAATTGGGTCTAGATAATGATATCTAATAAATAACCATTGGTAAGGAAGCTCAGCAGCAGTGAGTTTACATTTCCTATTTCTATTTAAATAAATGGGAGTCATCCTAATAATAACTTGTAAATCATTGGTAACTCTAAAGGTATAAAGTATCTGTAAGGTGTGCTTTTGGTGAAATGAACTTAGAATAGATTGTTGAGGGTTTGCTATTGAGCTGTTCAATATTTAAGATCCGATTTGTCCAACTATAATTTAGCATTACTACCAAACCACGCATTTTTTAAGTTACAATACAAAGAATCTACCTCATAAGTATTCATATTTTAGTTGTCTATATATTTTAAGTTACGCTAATGCAACGACTTTTAAGATTAATATATTCATTATATTGTATACATAATTCTCATTTATAATAGTGGATATAATACTAAAATATAATGAAGGACCAAAAAAAATTACTATTAGCTGTACGCATTTTTTTAGAGACAGAATTACGATAATTTTGGTTAATTTCCAAAAAAGATAATAGGTTTCACCAGAATTATCTAAGAAAGGAAAGATTTTCTTGATTCATTGGCTGTAAACTGTAATGCTGTATAATATATTTCGGGAATCCTTCAATAATTTTTGTTTGATTAAGTAAAATGAACTAAAAGCATTTTTATCCTTTTCAATGAAATTAGGATTTCCGCACCTTGCTGCAGGATGAACAAAATATCCAAGATCTAACTACTTTTAGAACTTTGCGACTGCGTTGTTAGCCGCAAGTTTACATTATAATTTTACAACTATTAAATTATTCGAACTGAAATATTACTAATTTCTAGACATTAAATTTTTAAATTTATATTTAAATAATTATTCTGTATGTTTCTAAATATATGGTAAAGATGTTCCTAGTTTTCAATTTAATATTTATTGCATCTACGAAACTAAAAAATAAAAGTAATAAACCAAATATAAAGCTAAATAAAGAATAAACATGTTATAAATATCTTTCAAGTAAATTTCATAGTAAAATTAGTGTAATGAGTAATCAGTAAGGATACGATGTTTGATAGTATCTATTTATAATAATACTAAATATATATTATATATTACTCTTAACTAAACATTATCTTTGATATCTAAATATATTGTATATATTGTATAAAGT